ACATCAAGTCATTGCTAATCGTAAATGTCACTGGCTATGTGCAGCAGCATCTGAAGACTAACATTGTGACTGGATAGCATCACATAAAGCTAGTCTACATATTTTAAGGGGGAAATGCAATGCAGCAGTAACAGCAGCACGGAAACATGGTTAAGATTTGACCAGGAAAAGAATAAAGAAAGGCACAACAGAGGAGTGCACAAACACATATAAGTCTATGGGGTGAATTTGCATTTGCGGATTTGTAATTGCAGATACATTCTATTTTGTTCAAAAAGCACACAATTTGTAGACAGTTAATGTGGCATTGTATAAACTCCTACTTTGGAAATAAAACCAGTCTGACTCCAAATTGATACACAGCCAGATTCTAAACAAGGCCTCACACCTATAGTCTGACCTGGGATGTCACCTCTGGTATACTGAGGGAACTGATAAAACCTTTAGTTATCTCAGGGTAGTGACTTAAAAGAAATTCTGGGATTTGCACGCTAATCCTTTCTAACTGAATAAAGATTTAACAGCCATCTTAGGTTTGTTCAACACATTTGCATCAGTTCTATGACCCTTTGATCTTTTGCTCATAAATTCTGTGTCTGATGCCACCTCTCTCACTAACACCTGAAGAAGGAGTGAGACTCCAAAAGCTTGTGTTTTCAAATAAACCTGTTGGGCTATAACCTGGTGTCATGTGATTTTTGACCTTGTCCATCCCAGTCCAACATCAGCGTCTCCACAACATGGATAGTGTACAAGAGTCAAACTTTGAAGCAGCTTAATTTCATGTAGAGTATGTGGTTATGAGAGGATCTAGATGATTCCAGTTTATTTTTAATTTTGTATCATGGCTAGCTGATGTTGCGTGGTTAACTGTGCATCTCATTTTAGCTTGTATGAACGAGGGCTTCAGGCTGAATTAGAATGCTTGAAAATGACTCGGCAGATTAGGTAGCATTAGAATAAGGAGACACATAGAAATGGTCTGTGACAATTTTCCAGGCCTGTTGGGTAGAATCTTCTGTGCCCAAAGACAGTGAGTTAGAAAGCAGGAATGGTGCCTAATTAGGTAGGCTGGTAGCATACGCAGTCCCTCCACCCTCCCACCTCCTCCAGGATTATGTTCTAGGCAAGAGGGCCCATGGTGGAACTCCATGTCCTGTCACCAGTTGCGGCTCTTAGTGGTCAATTAAGGATCACTTAAAAGCCAATCATGGCAGGATTAACCCAAGTACCTTTTAATTGATTTAGAATTTTAGAATTGTTAGAATTTTTAGAATTAGATTTACTGTCACGTGTACTCAAGTATAGGAATACAGGAGTACAGTACAAAGCATACAAAGTCACCAGCCTCTGGTGCTATTTTGGTTACACACTTGATTACAAGTCAGAATTTAAAAAAAGCAGAAATAAAAGAAACAAAGCCAAAAGGAATGAGAAATGTCCAGATACTAAAGTCTTATGTTAGTCTCATCACTATGCAGGCACCCAGGCCAAGCCATAGCCTATGGTCTTGGGAGAAGCTGAGTGCTTGCTGCTCCTGACTCTACAACTTCCGATCCCCTCCTGCTGCTGCCACCACTGCTGCCTCACATTCTATAACCACCGGTGCCGCAACCGGGTCCTGGAACATGCTCAGGCAGGGCCTACTCACAGCCTCTGATCGCCGGATCCCAGAACATGTTTGAGCAGAGCCCATCACCAATGCCTCGCCAAAGCAAAAGGCTTTAAAGGAAAGAGGAAATAAAAAGAGAAAACAAAAAGAAAGATAAAGAAGAAAGAAAAGCTGACGGAAACAAACGAGCAGCATGACAGCACCGCTATTCCACCGCCATCTTGTGGAATCAACAAATCAACTGTTTTTGAAGCATGTTATATTCCTGATAGCTGTTACCCTGCAGAAACCTTACCATGGCAGGGAAGGTGCAGGATAGATATAGGTTGGTGGGTCCACTGCACAAAGGTAGTCAGTGTCTGATCAAAAGACTGAACATGAGACAGGGCAGCATGCACAAGTCTGTACCCACCCACTGCCCCCCCACCCCCCACCCACCCCAATTCATGATCTTCAACCCAAGAAACCTAAATTCCCCCCATATTTCCTCCACAATCCTTGGATTCCAGGGTTGCTTTTTGAGCAGCATCCATTCTTTCCTTCCAACAGCACAAGCTACTGATTGGCCATTGAACTTGTTGTGTGGGACTCCTGTACCCAAGGTCTTACTATCGGGGTAAGGTCTGACACTGGCCAGAAGAGACAGCACAGGTCTCTTGCTGGTTTTCTAACTGGCTGCTGAGACCATCAATGCCTCAACAAGATTCCACATTAACTCTATTTTACTCTTTTCGTATATGCTGCCATACCTGCTGAGCATTTTTTCCCAGCATTTTCTGCTTTTATTTCAGATTTTCAGCATCTGCAGTATTCTGCTTTATGTTAGAATATGTTTTCAGTTCAAATCAACAAAAACAGAAAATATCAGTTGTCGTGGAATATCACTCAGTGATTTGTGAAGGAATTTTGTCATTGAATATATCTTATTTGGGGAAAAGAATTTTTGTTTTGTTGAGACTGTTCATAAGTCTGTTTAAGCTGATCTTGAAGTAACTGAGAAAAAGACAGAATCATTTTGATTTGAATTTCATAATCAGCAGTAAAGTAAGAGGGGAAGGTTGTGCAGTGCTGTGCAAGAGATTGTATTACTGACTAGGTAATTAATAGAAAGTATTTCAACTTTGAATTGTCCTTCACCACAGATGGAAAATATTAACAGCTACATGTATGCTCTCAATTTATTTATTTTGTAAGTTACAAAATGTTCCAGTAAATTATAACACAGAGTTTTATCATCAAAGGAAACATTTAAATTTCCTGAGCATAAATAATTGTTGGAAAAGCTTTATCCCAGCATCTCCACATTTAAAATACGTAACAAAAATCCATATAGCAGATTAGTCTATTGACCTCATACAGTGTAACAAATTTACTGGAACTCACAATTGAAATCAATGGAACTGTGAACGGGTGATTCTATAATAAGGTCATTCACAATTAAGGAAAAGGAGAGAGAGGAAAGTGGAGTAAGAGTTACTGTAGAAAGTTGCAATTTTCAACTATGCCTTGCCTAATTTTCCCTTGAAAAATGATAATAGAGGAAAACGAGTTCGGGATGTTGGGCTCCCGTTTGACACCAGATTCAACTTTTAAGCAGATCTCTATCCAGAAAAGGCATTCAAAAAACGTATCGGGCTGTTTAATGATGCATATTACAGGATCCCATTGCTTGTTTTATGCACAAATGGATACCGCATGCACTGTGCATGTTTGTTCCAGGTGCTGAGCCACCATACCTGTGACCATTGGAGACTGATCCAAAAATAACCTGTTATTTTTGCAGGGGTTAGTCATGAGGGCCCACAAGAACAGGTGATAGTACTTTCTGCCCATCAGTTCAATTCAAATGCGCCTTAAATCTGAAGATAGTTCAGGTGTCCTGTCAGTGACTTGGGGCACATATTACAAACGCACGGCTGCCTTTGCCTGCAGTTTGAATCAATAAAAGCAATTCTACAGCTAAGGGAGACCATATTAATCTAGACCACTCTATTGTATATTCATTAAGATTAAAGGCATGCACAGATATTTAAAACCAATTTTATAGCAAAGTTACAAATTTTTAAAAATTTCATTTTAACAATAAAAATCTGCAGCTTACTTTTGTTTTGGAGAGGGCTATGGTTCATCCCAACAAAAGAAAAGTCAGTTATAAACTGATTGACTTTAAAAAGACCACCATTCCGCCTTAGTAATAATATGTTGCAGATGATCTAAACAAGCCAAGAGTGGAATTCTACCCTCATTGAAAGGAGGTTCCGTCTTCAAGTCTAAGCTTTTTGGGAAGGGAAGGATTGAGATCCTAGTGACTTTGTTGAAAAAATGACCTTACCACTCTCGTATCCTTCCATTATCTAGCGTATTGTAGCACTGGTGATGGATTGTGATCCTTAAGTATTAATTAGCCACTTAAGGATTTCATTAGGCCTAAGGTCCAGATAGACTGATGCCCAAATTACCCACCATCCATATTATGGGGATCAGGTCTGGACTTGCCGGAATAGCTACTCACCATTCATAATATATGTTCCACTCAGAAAACATGCTAGCCTTGAAAAAGATTAAGCAATAAAAATTGCAGATAAAAATAATATTTCCCTGGGTCAAGTTCAATTCCAGTTGCTGGGTTAATTCCCAATATTATTTCTGGCCTGGAGAGTGAGCTGGCCAATGCCAGGGAAGAAATATCCATGATGTTGAATGTTGGAAATTCTTCAAACATTTAAAAAAGAGCTAAAATTGAAATGCTACTAGTTTTAAATTAGGAATATGCGTAGAAACTTTCTTAATGATGTTTTGCATCAATAGATAGTCTAAGATATGGATTACCAGCCATTGTCCACCAGTTCTCCTTCTTTTAATGTCCGTATTTCCCCTCCAACTTTAATCCTCCACCTTTGCTCATCCCAACCTGCCTTTCTCTGCTTCTATACTTCAATTCTTCTTTACCAAGGTTTATAAGTAAGTCAGCTTGTACAACCTTAGGTTGCACTCCCCATCATCATTTTCACATGACAGGACAGGCCTGGCTGGGCACCTAAATTGATGGATGAGAAGGAAGTGATGGAAAGTTACGAAAAGCTGAAAACTTGATGGCGGGTCTTTCCATTCTATTTGATTGATGACGCTGCCTTGAACCCACCAAAAATAGATGGTTACTAGATGAAACACAAGGCCTCGACCATGAATCACATTCTTTTGATAGCCTGTTGTCATTCTTTACTGAGCTAATTAAAATGGCAGTTATGCTTACTAGTTATGGTGATAGTGGCAGCAATGACCAACAGGTTGTTAAATATTATGATACAGTTATGAAAAAATAACCCTTATAGAATACAAGACTACTCATCATATCCTCTGAATAAATGTGGTAATCAACATTATTTACCTGTTAAAAGTCTTGTACTGAGCCAGTTCTACCTTCGGTGTGAGTTCTGGCATTGTGGGATGTAAAGTTGAAAGAAGTTCTGGATCATCTGCAATAGCTTCCTCCCATGGAGTCTGATATGATTTTGGAACAGCTGTTGTATTAAATTTTTCAGGTGGAATTCCTTTCAGTGGTCCAGTATATCCTGTGCAGAAGGATTATGTCAAAATGCATGTCTAACATTTATTAATCATATCATGGTTGGCATGGATGTCCATGCAGAGTTGTAAAATTGTATTAACTCTTGCTGTTCCTCATAATGTAAACCCTAACATTTGCTGGGCTGTTGGGTTCTGACAGCAAGTGGAACCCTGTTGCTTCCTCAGTTGGAGAAGTGGAAAGTCAATGACAACAAATCAAGTGATGCCTCTTTCATATGCCCCTTATAATCTTACATGGGCTTCCCCTATCCTGGTGAGGGAGGCAATAGCCTAGTGGTGTTATCACTGGATTGCTAATTCAGAGACCCAAGTGATGTTCTGGGGAAGTGATTCAAATCTGACCACAGTAGATGATGGAATTTGAATTCAGTAAAAAAAAAAATTGGAATTAAGAGTCAAATGATAACTATGAATCCATTGTTGATTGTTGGGAAAAACCTATTTGACTTGCTAGAGTCCTTTAGGGAGGAAACAGCCATCCTTACCGGGTTTGGCCTACATGTGACTCCAGACCCACAGCAATGCGGTTGACTCTTAACTGTGCTCCCGGCAATTAGGGATGGGCAATAAATGCTGACCTAGCCAGCAACACCCTAATTCCTTGTATGAAAATAAAATATCCTTGATATCCTGTCTTTCAAATAAATCTTTCATTACTCTTTTTACCACTTTGTGATATTAAAGTTAAAAAAATTGGATTTTCTTTATATACAGTTGTCCCATTTCTGAGAAATCCTGTGATATACCAAGTTCCAGTTAAAACAACCACAACTGATGAAGGACTCCTGAAATAAATAGAATTAAATGCAGAGGAACAATTTAATATATTGGGAAAATATTTCAGTAATATGAAAACAGTGTACTGGCTTATAAAGTTCTCAACAGATTGTCTGGAGGCCATTAATATCAGAATACGGGATCAAGATAAAAAGATAATTCAATTATTATCCCTGAAACTAATCAGGAATATGTAATAGGCAGAGAAACACCTTATTACAGTAGCATGAGGACTTTTGAAAAGCAAGCGCTTTCAATGTTAAATTTTCATTTTCATTTTTTTTCATTTGATGCAAATATAACAACATGTATGAACCTTGCATTAGGTGGGATGACTGGTGAAAAGTCATGCCTATTTAACCTGGGTTTGACCCAGTGCTGTGTCATACATTTAAAATGTAGCAACTGAGCCATAGAAACTACAGTACAGTTATATGCGGTGTTGTCTCAACTATTATGTCTCTTACCTGGAGCAATCGAATCTGGATTTGGTGGAGTCCTTGGATCAGGTGTATTTGGAGGTGTTTTAGGGATGTTTTGTTGCCCACTTTGTAGTCCATTCCCTATGGCTTTGCAATTTTCTGTTCCATCGTCACAGTATGTTGTGGATGGTGCATAGCTCTAAAAAAGTTGCAGGATAACAAGGGTACATTTGTCATAGTGTACTGAGTATGGACTAATCTTTTAGTCAGAACATTTTTCAGACACCAATTGATATCAAATTTATTCAAAATAAATAACGTTTATTTAATAGCGATGATATAATCAAAATAGCTTGTATTAGTTTTTTTTGAATAATTATGGTAATGATCACATTTTCACAAGTTATTTTGGGGCTAATTTTTAATGAGTTAGTTTAGGCTAGAAATTTGAAACTAGAGAAACAAGTTTCTTGTCAGTGATCATTACCAGTTTCAAAGCAATTGCTAAAAGTCAGGATTAACTTTTACTGGTTATTTAGGTCCTTCTGTTGGAGTTTATAAAGAGGAATGAACATGAATTTTCATATTGTATGATTTATTTATTTTGTGGACAACATAATTTAAGAATTACAAACCAGCCAAAACTTCAGCATTAATTAAACTAATAGTCTTAATGACACAATCATATTTCAGGCAGTGCATCATTGTAATATATCTCATTGTAATATGTTTTGAATGTGACTTTGCATATGTTTTCATATTCCCATTCCTAAAGTGAGAGCATTTGAGCCCAACAGTAACTCGGTAGGTATAGTTTGCATGAGCAAATTTGTCTAATGGGGCTGAATTGGGCCTAATTTTGAAGTGGCAGAGCAAACAACATTAAAAAATTGTAGTTATTTCATCCTAGCATGTGCCTGATTCTGGAAAAACAACGTCTGCCCCAAGTGCCTTTCCAGTGTGCTAGATGAAAGCTCATTTGTGGGGCTGATACAGTTGATTCATAAATTAACCAGGATTTAAAAATCATGCAAAAAAAAGGTGCAATGATTTTATTGCTTTTTTGCAATCAACATATTTGATTCCGGTTTATTTATTGTTTCCTGTAGAATTACCCAACCTTGTCTTTGAATACATACGTTTATTTGTGAATTGACAGAGTTCTGGAATCCCTCAAATGTGTATTTGTCAGATCTTCTTTGGCGCTTTTTAAATAATCGGGCCCCTCTGTTGCTAAGAAGGGAAAGCTCTTCCAGCATTATGTCTTTGGGAACGCTGATCTTTTTTCCATAATCCACATCTAGTTCTGAAATATACCACAAACAATAACTTGAGATGAGAAATTTCCATTTCAATGCTCTTATATGTTAAAAATATTTTGTCTTAAATAAGTTACAGTGATCTTCTCAAGGAACAATGTTGACGGTATGAAATGTTATTTCTGTCTCATGTGCTTCATTTTTCTTTTTGGTTGGTAAGCAAATCATTATTTACGTTATAAACTGCGCTCAGCTCAGTAGACATGACAATGTTCTGAAGAAGGGTCACCAGACCCGAAATGTTAAATCTGATTTTTTCTTCACAGATGCTGCCAGACCTGCTGAGCTTTTCCAGCAACTTCTGATTTTGTTCGTGAAAATAATATTTGTGTCTGAATTACAATGCATACACACTTTTGAAAGTATGTTTGTAGTTTCATTAAACTGCTGCTTGCTCACTGTGCTTAAGTGTACATCAGTGTCAAATAATAGCCAAATGTAAGTCTATACCGATTCTAAGTTGTTTCTAGTCTCATAGTGTTAATCATGATTTTGTTGACTGCTTCGAAGCTGTGTACAGAAAACATATATGTTTGACCTGCTGGCTCTGAATACTTAAGAGTGGAGACCTGGTACCAGTAAACACTGGCTAGTTCTATGCTATAGTGCTGGTTTATTGGAGGAGCCTGATACAGTTGGACAAGATAGTTGTGTTTATTTAGAGTAAATGGTGAACTATATCTTTGTTCTAAGAATAGCTAATAAGTATGCACATAAGTAGCTATGTCATAATGATGTCAGATGTCTGGGAATGGGACCCAAATGTGTAGAATTCCAGATAAGGCCTCTCTTACTCTCTGCTGTATATAATGTTATACTTAATTAAGGTTGTTGATGTTCGCAAACAAGAGTAGGGACTACCTTCTATCAATAACATGGACATAAAGAAGCAAACTCTGACCAGACTCACAGAACCAGCGACCAGCAGCAAGGGAGTGCCTGAAGAGAACACAACTGCAGTTTAGTGCAGCAGGTAAAGGACAAGCCAGCTCAGCAATCCTACTGCAGAAGAGAGAGGTAGCGGTAGTGTAATGCATCAGGGAAAGGTCTTTAGGGCCAAGTTAGGAATTGGCCAACCCTTCAAAATGCTAACAAACTGTGAGAAGAGCCTATGGCAGGAAACAGGAAAGCTGGACAACAACAGTCAGCCACAATGAATTAGAATTACGCAGATTGACTGTCTTTGAGTACATGGAAATAAAGAGAAAGTGAGCCGAAAGAAAATGCAGGAAGAAACAGAGTGGAGTTAACACAGTTAAAGGACTCCATTTGTGGAGCTTTGCCCAACCATTATTACAGATGGTCTCATTTCATAACTGGATTGGCAGCACAAAATATTAAAAACAGACTAAGCTATCTGTAAGTCTCCAAAATTTACAGGGTACTGAGGAGCAAGATGTCTTTCTCTTGGGAAATACAACAGGCCCACTACAGGACATTGGCAGACTTAATTTTGCAAATGAATTACATGAATTCTGGAACACAGATGGAATGGCTAACAACTAATTTTGTTTTTTTTTCAGATTCAAAACTATTACTGAAGCAAAAATTCTTTGACCATCTTTCATTTAGCTTTGGAGCACAAATATTCAAATCAGAGTGAGAGGGCAGATGCAGGTTAAATTTCACTGTAATGAGAGAGAAAGATCACCAATTCTTTGTTTGTAATTCCTAACCAGTATTCTTTACAAGCAAAAATACTTGAGTTGCTTTGTCTCTTCTTAGTTTAGCAGTTGCAGTAGAAACCATTGTTGACTCAGCATCAGTCTCTGGAACCGAAACTCCAACCCTGCTACCACTGGAAGATAATATATAAAGCTCCCATTTATCTCAGAAGAGACACTACAAGTAGCAGATTAGAAAGACACCAAGCATGAAGGTGACCAACCACAAGAGAACATTTTAATCCTTAATTTTCTCTTTCATGGAAAACTGGCACAGGATGAAGCTGTCACTTATGCTGTTGGTATAATGAAAGCAGAGGTCCAGACTCTTGGACCCAACTGGTAATGTGCATAAAGGCACTGCTCTGTCTTTTGAGGAGAATCACTCTTTTGTTGAGGGAGGTAACAAAGAGATACATTTTTGCTTATTCAACTAAATCGACCAATAACAGGCAGCAAAAACAGCAACCAAACCTTTGCATAGACATTTCTTCAATTGATGAAGATCAGACTATTACAGTGAAGCAAAAAGCAAGTGACATGAGGTCTCAGCAACTGTCAGCTACAGCTGAACATCCACTAAAGATGATGGAACCTTGGCAAAGTTGCAGGAATCTCAACTGAAGATAAACAACCTTTCAGTTTGCAAACTAAGTGCAATTGACAGGCACAAATGGTAGCTGTCCTCACACTTAAGCAGACAACAGCTGAGAATAGTTTATAGTAATTCAGCCACAAAAGAACACTTGCAAAGCTTCAGAATTCTTCATAGGTAGCAAGATAATCACAATGTCTGAGAAGTCTTGCACTAGAGAGTTTGCAAGGGATGTTCAGTTGTACATAAAGGTGATCTCAGGCATTGGCATAGGTTCATATGCACTGAAGCTTCGTGCAGGGTAGATAATACCTGTCCTTTATTAGCAGAAACCTACTGTATCCAACACATACTTAACAGCAAATGTGCAAAAGAACATAAGGGTGATCTTGATACACGCAGAGAAAAATGTCAGATAGATAGTTCAACAATTGTAGCATTTAGTGATAAGCTCAACAGGAAAAGGCAAAGCTAAGTATGAATTATATCAAACCAATATTGAACATTCAAAGATTATTACTCTGCATAAGTGGCAGCTGAAGTCTACAACTGAGTTTCATCAGCATGCCTGACTTGGAAATATACCACTGTTCCTTCAGAGTTGCTGGGTCAAAATCCTCAAACATCCTCCTTTACAGCACTGTGGGTAAACCTACACCACATGGACTATTATTTCCTAATCAACCTGTTCAGAGATGTTATTACACATCTCCGGAGCAGGTGGGACTTGAACCGGGTCTCTCAGTTCAGGGGTAGGGATACTACTACTGCACCATAAGAGGGTCCTTCCTACACCATACGGAATAGTTTAAGAAGGCAGCTGTCCACAATCTTCACAAGGGAAATTTAGCATTGGCAATAAATGCTGATGTAGCCAATGATAACCACATCTTGTGTATTAGCAAAAAATAAAAAATCAGTTTTTTCATTGATTGGAATAAATAAAACAAAAACAAAACAAAGAACAGATGCTGGAGATCTGAAGCAAAAACAGATACTGCTGGTGAAACTGAAACAGGTCTGGTAGTATCTGTGGGGAGAAAGCAGAGTTAATGAATTGAATAGGTGGAGACAAAACCTAGAGAGAGAGGGAGAGATGTGAAAGGGGTAAGCAGACAAAGGAATTATTGATAGTAAGCCAGAACAGAAGAGAAGCTGAACAAGTACAGCCCAAATATCAGCTTTCTTGGGAAGGTAAATCTACTCTTCCAATAGGGAAATGATAGGGGAGCACACATTAACTATACATCCTTCAAGAGAGTTTGGACTACTGTTGGAGATTAACATTTAAAGCACAAGACAATTTGGGAACAGTGAAAGATGTAGGATATGGATGAAAACGGTAAGTAGTTCATAATTGTACCAGTTTTTGGATAAGCAACTCTTTTTTCATTTGTTCAATAGTTAAAGCATCATCGCCGGTTAGATTAACATTTATTAGAGACGGTCTTTACTTGATGCTACATGGTAAGAATGTTATATGTCATTTTTCAGCCCAGGACTGAATGTTGTCCAGGTCATACTGCACATTGATACAAGCAGCTTTAGTAACTGCGGGGTCATGAATGATATTGCACACACATTGCAATCCCTGCTTCTGATCTTGTGATGGAGGAAAGATTATCAATGAAGCAACTAAAGATGGTTGGGCTTAGGACGGCTACCCTGAGGAGCTCCTGCAGTTATGTCCTGGCACTGAGATGACTGACCCCTAACAGCCATGATTATTTTCCTGTGTGCTAGGCATGGTTCCAAACAGCAGAATTTTTCCCTGATTCCCACTGACTCCATTAATACTATGGGCGCTTGATGCCAAATTCAGTAAAAAGTTGCTTTGCTATCAAGGACAGTCACTCACACCTTAACTTCCAGTATTTTTGTCCATGTTTGGAACAAGGCTGTATCGAGGTCAGGAGCTGAGTTACCCTGGCAGAACCAAAACTGAACATCAGTGCACAGGTTAGTATTGAGCAAATGCCATTCGATAGCACTGTTGACACTTCCATCTCTTTGTTAATGATTGAGATTAGACAATTGGAAGATAATTGGCTGGGTTGGATTAGTCCTGCTTTTGTGGATAATGCATAACTTGGGAGTTTTGCATATTATAGGATAAATCCCATTGCTATAACTGCTGGTACAGCTTGGTCAGAGACAAATCTTCAGTCCTCTTGCCAGAATGTTGCCGTATCTAGTGTATTTAACCATTCCATGATAACATGTTGTATGAATCTATTTGCTGAAGGCTAGCACCAATGGTGTTGGGGAGCTCAGAAGGAGGCCAAGATAGATTATCTAGTTGACACTTTGGGCTGAAGATCGATGAAAGTGCTTCAGCTTGTCTTTTGTAATGATGTGCTGCACTGTCCATCATTGAGGATGACAATACTTGTGGAGCTCCCTCCATAGTGAGTTGTTTAGTACAGTTGTTACTGTTATCAATATTGTCATGGGCAGATGCATCTGTAACAGGTAGATGATAAGGATGAGGTCTAGTGTGTTTTCTCCTCTTGTTGATTCCTTTGCCACCTACCACATTCCCAACTTAGCAGCTATATCCTTCAGGACACATCTGCCTTGGTCATTATTAGCACTACTAAGCCACCCTTGGAGATGGACATTGAAGTCTCCCAGCCAAAGTAGTACTTGGGCCTCTTTTCATTGGTGTTGAATAGGAAACATAGAAACAAAGAAGATAGGAACACGAGGAGGCCATTCAGCCCTTTGA